CAGAGTTTGATAAGCTTGCACATATGGAGATTTGAAAATGAATAAGGTAGAATGCATAGCATGTGATGGTCAGGGTGTTTCTGAAACAAGACCCATTTTCACAATAACTTACAGCCAATGGGGTCACTTAACACAAATTTGCCCCTTGGCGTCACAACAGAAAACATCTAAATAACCTAAATTTTTGTCTTTTGCCAATTTTAGGAAAAATTCGGACAACTACCCACCTTGTAATAACAACAGCCTTCTGGTCACTCCCAGCAGTACGTCGTCTGCTGACCACTCCCCTACCTCAGATGGTCAGTCTCCGGACTACGAGCAGTACACGGATGATGAGGACTGGTCATCTAATGAGTTCACCGACACTGATGAGGAGACGTCTGAGGCCACCACACCCTCTGCTGTGGTAAGAGAAGAAGGGGACACTTTTCCTTTTTTAATTTTAATTTATTTTGAGGCATAAAAGACTTACAAAACTTGAAAATTGTCAATGTCAGGTGCCATACACAAGTATTTTTTAAAGATATCTGATTTACACCTACAGTATGAATCTTATTCAATGCTGAAAATGTAAAGTTTGCACTGTTAATAAAATGTGAAGCTTCTTTGTCTTGTGCTGGTGTCAAAAGGAGAAAAGTATTTGATGAAATGGCCGGCAATAGACATTTAAGTTTGTTGAATTTACGCAAAAGAGTGAAGTTGACATGAGATTTCCTCCACATTAAATCCCATAGAAGTACGATTATTTTTTATTCTCTCACCAGGTGGAGTTACCAGTCTATGTCGCCCTAGGAGATTACCAAGGCGCGGACAACACAGAGCTCTCTTTACATGAAGGAGAGGAGGTTACCGTGGTTACAATTGGTGACAGCGGTTGGTGGTTTGTGAAGTCGATTGAGACTGAATGTCAGGGCTGGACGCCTTCTACATACCTAGAACCAATCAGCCGAAGAAGCTCGCGTTCTGCAATTTCTATGACGAGTTTAGGTATGAATATGATGTACTAGGAGTAGATTTGTTCCTAGATATTTTTTAATGATATGTAATATTGTGTTATTATTTGTGCCAGTATCGTAACTCAAAGATTTTTCATTCAGAGTCATATGTCAACCTACATTTTCCAGCAAAAAATTGGATTGAGGGTATTTTTTTTAGGAGAATTAACTTAAAATAAATGTTTATATTTCAGAATCTGGCCTGGGAAGCAACGGCATCCACCACGCAGTGAGCAAAAACAGTATAGGTAGCAGCACCAGTGGCGGCTGTGGCACCAGCATGGAAGGTGGTGGGGCTGGAGGAAGGGTCAAAAGTCACCAGAACCTTTTGGACCAATTAGAGGACACAGTGGTGTGAGGTGGCCAGTCTGGCCAGTGGTCATTCTGACATAGTGAGCAGTGAGGATATATGACCAGTGATATGTCCAGTACTAACCAGTAACCACAAGTTTGAATGCTTTAAGAACAGCAGGGGCATATTGAGGCTGCCCTCTGGGTCTTCTGGAAGACAGATTTCTGTCGGAAGGTGGTAAAAAAAGGCGGATGGATGAACAATGATAATTTGGAAGACTGTCAGAAATGATCTCTGGATCCGCCCCAGAACAGGGACAGTATGTTGGTCATAATCCATTTGAAATATTCAAAAACCATGCTGTGACATTTTTGTGCCCCATCATCAAAAGAAAAGAGGGAGAAAAAAGCTTTATCTATTTAAAGTACTGGTAGATGCAAAATTTAGTGTACAAACAAAAGGAAGCATGCAAACACTCACTGTATGTGGCTTATGTATCCAAATCAAAGTGATCCTAAAAACAAGTGCTCACATGATTATGATGTCATTGATGGAGAAAAACCCTGTGTGATGTCACCATGTGATGTCGCGGCTAAACCCATGTGATGTCACAGCTGTACCCTGTGATGTCACAATTATACCCTATGTCAGAATATTTAAGAGCACATTTTCAGTTACTATCATAGTTTTGATATGTGTCCTAAAGATTTTTTATCTTGGATATGTATACATGCACTTCTATGGTGCAGCAATGTCTTGTTTTATTTCTGTTATTATTTTTTTCTACACAGTCATGACGTATGATTATTGCCATGCAATTATGATGTAATGAATGCAACATCCACTGTTGGGTCTGTATTCAGTTGAAAAAGTTTGAGGGCTTCTTATGATATAAACGTGTGTATGCAGTATATATGACACAATATGTATTCAGGTAATCATGTTCACTTTACTTGTTCTCATGATATACATGGTATCTAATTGATATAATGTGGTAATATTGATGATGTCATAATTGTGGTAGCCATGGTACCATCCAAAAGTGCACAACATGTGGTGACATCATCGCTTTTTGTGCCTTGATGTTGTCAAGAATTTCAACCAGCATGTGTATCGTTTTTGGATTTTTATAGGAAACCAAGAGTAAGATCAATACTTCAAGTCATGGTGTAAGAAGAATTGTGAGCTTTGCTTTGGGTGCAAGCACATTCCAGCTTTAAATATTTTCAAACAGTAAAAATATTTGCTTCATTGAATTTTGCTTATATGTGCATGTTATATGTAATAAATGTTTACAGAATTTTAGAAATACCATTCCAGTGTAGTCTACTGAAAAGAAAGTGATTCCACTTTATGTAAACAGTATATTTTCTTTTAAAGATTTCTGTCACAGCCAACAGCTTATGATAAGCACATTTATATGTACAGATACTAGTACAGAAAGGAGTTATTTGATGATACTTTTTCCAAATTATAAAGTTAAGTCTATGAGAATGGCCATTTCAAATTTTATGAAAATTTTGACATATCTGTGATTTGCAATACATTAACTACATGTGCTCTTACTGTAGTTAATTTATTTTATCTGAAGTCAAAAAGGTAGAGAAATTGACACACTTAAAAGTAATTTTGAATGATTCCTAGATGGATTGAAACATGAAAAGTAGAAAACGTAGATATTCCCAAACTTCAGAGTATTGAGAAATACATTCCCAGTCTGATCGTTATGTGGTGAGAATAATATATATGTACTGGTAGAAGTGCTGTTGTGAAAGCTTTTCAACAGAGATGATAATATTAAATTATTATAGATATGATAGGTCTTTATTTGAAATGTGATATATACCTGTATTTTCTGAGAGTTGAAATGTTTTGATCAGATCTCAAGGGGGAAATACATTCCTACATGATGTGATCCCAAATGTACAGGTGTTACCTTTGTCATAACTAATATAAATGTTCATAATACGGTAATTACTGACACATTTTGAACCCCCTATATTGTCAAGATGTATTACTTTTAGGAACTGAGTCTAAGAAGGTTGTGTTTAAGATGGTTCTGTAATGATACCCTTCAGGATAAAATGATTGGCAATGTGAAATATTGGGTCTTAAATAATTAAAGCCAAGCAGAATATGGTAATTACTGAAAAAATTGAGAAGTAATTTGTACCCATTATCATGTTAAACAGAAATAGTGCAGATGTGCGTTTTATGAGGGCAACTGAAATATTTGCACTTGTCAATGTGCTTTTCACATATCGTCAGTCTTTAGGGATACATGTGCAATTCTGTATACAAGTCATAAACAGCTGAATGTATGTTATTTATGTCCATTATACTTTAATTTGTTAAGTTGTAAAGCTTGCTTTTCAGTGGATTTCAGTAAATGAAAAAGTGAAAGTGAAATATGTACATGTATGTATATTATGTAATGCATATGCACTGCACTTGCTTGTAAATATTAAAGTATAATTTGTGGTATTTATTAACAACACTGCCGTTTTGTAAATAGACTGTGTATTTTTCTCTCTTTTGTTCGGCAGATACAGCTGTTAAAAACAATCGGGAATTTGAGATCAGATTGATTATTTTTATTTTTTGCTTGAGTTTTGGCTTTCCTTGCATTTTATTTTGACAGTGATAATGTTTAATATGTTGATATTTTGATCCTTGTTAGATATGGACTCGTACTGGTACATGTACATGTATTAACGACAAGTAAGAGTAAATCGATCATTTCTGGGACATGTTATGTGTGCATGTATGTGCTTGAAGCTTCATAAGTATTTTCATTCATATACCAATAAGTGCTTCTTATATAATTACTAGTACTCTGAAAACGTGTATTACGCTAGAACTGTGGTATTCTTTTCATTTTGTAAATTGAATCATTACACTTTTTTTGCAAAATCCTTAAATTTGCGAAGGGATTGGAATACTTTTGTGTTTCAATCCCATTAGTGCTTCTCAGAGGCTTCAATCTTAGATGCCAAGCCGTTTCGTGTTTCGGCATGGGATCGCCAGAAAATTCAAAATAAATATAACAAGCTGGTCTGGTCATTAGAATTACTTATTTTCTTTTGGTGCCATGTTATGTATAGGTGCATGCAATATACGTCTTTGTACACTTGTATATTGACATTTGTATTGATGTCGTCCATAGTGTGAAACGTGGAGGGAAATAAATATACAAATATATTTGCTGTTTATTTTTTGTAATTATTTACACCTTTTAGAGACGGCCGTGAGTTAACTCGCTGACAGCTGGTGTCCTCAGTAAGTTTTGTGTTAGAAAAAAAGGTCTATAGAACCGATGCATGTTTGTGAAAATAAAGCCTAGGTTACATTTGTCACGCGATGCCCGTGCTGGTATACTGCGCTTAAGTCCCTTCTCGTGGGGAAGCAGGAGATGGTCGTACGAAATCGTTCAGATTCACGGCCTCTTTAGCCTCTAAGATCTTGTCAAGCTAAAACTTTTGACAAATTTTACAAAAATCATAATCCCTTAGGCCGCAACGCACGCTTCCCGCAGTGGTTTCGTTTGGTACCCTAGGTTCTAGACATCGATATTGCCGGCTCCATCTTGATTCCACATATAACCCACATCAGCAATGCTGTAAAGCTAATATAACCAGGCCCGTAGCCAGCAATTTCAAAAGGGGGGTTCTTTTTCTGAAAAAGTGGACCTTTTCCCATAAAAACTTCATGTACCTAGATCAAATTTTACCCAGAGNTTCCCAGAAGGCTGAGCTCGATTGAGGTCACGTGCTCTTGTGTATTGCCATACAAATCTGGATGTGACAAGCGCTCACTGGAAGATGGCGGTGATTCGGAGTGCCGTGCCTCTTTGTACATTGTGGCTTTGCTGGAAGATTTACTCTCAATCCGTCTACCAAACAGCAACAAGACGTGTGGTGTACTAGTAAGTAGAACCAAACAATTGTTACATATCTATACTGTATTGTTTTTTATTTCGACTATCAATCGTTATCTTAATACATCGACAGATGGATTAAACTGGTCACTCCACAGCATTTCCCCACTGCTTGGCAATATCTGAAGTAAGACACGATTGTGACCATAATATTTTACCAAAGAAATCAATATGTTCAATAAGAAGTCTAGTACATTTTTCTTTTCTCCGCGTTAAACGTGGAGGACACGGCACCGTACCTGGGGAAATGCCGCGGAAACATTCGACACCAGTATTGATCATGTCTATTTTTATTTATGTTTATTTATTCAACACTCACTTCATATCTGACAGATGAAACTGCATTAAAAATTTGATAACATAGAAATACGTAGAACGCATTCGTCATTGGTAGGGCCTATATTTGAAAATATACCCGAGGAAAAAAATCTAGACGCCACCCCACCCCTCATTGAAACGACATTATGTGGGTTACTGACTGCCTTAATGGTCCACTGCATGCTCTTATCTGAATAGTTTTCCCATGTTTGACAAATGAAACAAATACTGTAGCGCCATCTGGAGGCGAGAAAAGAATTGCCGTCTCCTGTGATCGAAAGAGCAGCTGTTTGTTGAGATTAATAATTGAAACTACGTGGAATGAACAGATACTTTTGTGAATGCACAACAATTATCATAAATTGTTCAAGATAAAATATTTCCATTACAATTTCTTTTACATGCCTTTCTTTTAAACGAACGTGATTGCTTAAGCCACAAAGCCATTCCCTTTCATGAATGCATTTTTAATTTTTTTGAATATTAAAATATTCTAATAATTTTAATGCTCTTTAAATGCCCGGTATACGAATGCAATCACTTCATGAACAATGCATATAGCGAAATATTTTCACCTGTCTTCCATTCTCCCCCACTACAAGCTGTCCTTTGTTATCAATGGCCACACCCGTTGGTACTGAAACGTGTTGTGGACCCACTACATATCTTAACAGTTGACCATCTGGGGTCAGAACAACCACCCTGTTATTGTACTGGTCAGCAACGAAGATGTGACCCACGCTGTCTGTACACACTCCCCAGGGAGAGTCCAGGTATCCATCATCTGAGCCCATCTTCCCTGGTGTACCATACTGGAACACTACATCGCCCTGGGGGGTAACTCCATATACACAGTGTTCCTCAAAGTCGCTCACCACAATGGTGTCACGGCATGGGAGCACTGCAATGTATCGTGGGTCTTTACATATAGGAACAGCGATCTTATTGATAAGATTGTACTGCACAGCGTCATACACACAGATACATTTATCGGTCCTATCGCAGACAAGTATGTGTCCATTGTTGTCTACTGTAACACCCCAGGGCGTAGACATGTCACCCTGACCAAATGTTTGGACATGTTCCCCGGAGAAGGAATACACTCGGCATCCATCATCACACGTAACCACCAGTCTGTCATCACTGAGCACGGTGACACCCCTGGGACTTGGTATNCGCTTTTGACTTGTCTATACATTAGTTAAACTTGATAATGAATGGAATTTAAGTCCACGTATAAAAATGATGTCAATCCCCTTCCCCCCATATTTTCGTATGCTACATGTAATTTTTATCCAACTATTTTTCTTTCAATATGTCTGTCATAATAAAAAAGCTTGTCTTTTTGGTCCCAATCAACGATGTTCACGTAGTGCACCTAAAACTGTTCACTTTTAGAGTTGTCGCCTGGTAACGTCTCATGTACTATTTAACTTGTAGTTACATAGCGAAATGTTTTCACCTTGCCTCCAATATCCCCCACTACAAGCTGTCCTTTGGTATCAATGGTAACGCACAGTGGTACGGAATCCTGTTGTCGACCCATCACGTATCTTAACAGTTGACCATCTGAGGTCAGAACAACCACCCTGTTATTGTACTGGTCAGCAATAAAGATGTGACCCACGCTGTCTGTACACACTCCCCAGGGGAAACGCAGGTATCTATCACCTGAGCCGCTCTCACCTAGTGTACCGCACTGGAACACAACATCACCCTTGGGGGTCACTCCATATACACAGTGTTCATCAAAGGCACTCGCCACAATGGTGTCACGACATGGGAGTACTGCAATATATCGTGGAGCTTTACACATAGGAACAGTGATCTTTTTGATAAGATGGTACTTCACAGCGTCATACACACAGATACATTTATTGTTCCTGTCACAGACAAGTATGTGTCCATCGTTGTCCACTGTAACACCCTGGGGGTAGGACATGTCACCTTGACCAAATGTTTGGACATGTTCCCCGGAGGAAGAAAAAACTCGGCATCCATCCTGGCATGTAACCACCAGTCTGTCATCACTGAGCACGGTGACACCCCTGGGACTTGCTACATCAATCTGAAATATCACCTTATGAGCTGGTGATATTGCTGTAAGTTTACCCGGCTGGTTATAAACTAGATATATTGTCCCACTTTGACTGCATGATATGTCCCATAAATATCCAATGTTGCTATCAAACTCATTCACCAAAGATGCAGTATTTAGCCATTTATACCTCTTCACAAGAACAAAACATTTCACTGGAATGTTTTCCTCATTAGAAGTGCTGTCTTGCGTTACTGCCGGAAAGGTGGGTTTAAGTTTTCTCAACTCTTTCATCCTAGCTTGGATATGTTTAGCGTGCATCATCACTTCCGTGTCGGAGCTATGTTGAACAAGCTGCTTGGCAAACTCACATGTTCTGTGAATGGACACCTTCTGTAGTTGAACGCCATCTTTCTCAGCCTCGAGTGATTTTACGAGCGTCGTGGCGTGGTCTTTTGCTTCCGCTTTCAACTGTGCAGAAATACGCTGAACCTCTTCAATAATATCCGCCTCTTGTTGTTTTACGTCGGTCACCGTTTTGCTTACGTCGTCAATTGCAGCTTTCTGTTGCATGGATATTTCCGATTCTGCATTTTCAAACAGTGAAATGTTCTTAGATAGATTGTTAAAGGCGCTTTCTATATCCTCTTTATGCGTTTCTGCTATATCTGCAATGTCTACACAATTGTGTTTGTTGTGTTTGGTGAGAATACAGTCACGACACACAACAACATCGTCATCTGTGCAATAAAATTTCAATCTTTCTTCTTCGTGCTTATCGCAAAATAATGTTACGCCCTTCATATCCTGGACATGCTTACTCAATTCAGATACTGCGATCAGCGTGTGTCCCTGCAAAAATTTTATAGCGTCATGCTGTTGTCGTCGACAGTTCTCGCAGAAAAAATGTTTGCAATTTTGACAGTAAAATTGAGCAACTTGTGAATGACAGTTACCACACATTTTGTCTTTACCTTCCTTTGTCAGCAAGTCCAACATTGTCCTCTTGGACAAAAAGGAGATTCGGACAAGATTCTCCAGTCCACCTGGTGGAACAGGTGTCTCTTGGCGGCACACTGGACACGTGATGTTGCGTCCCGTCCCACTCGCTGCCACTTCCTGATGAAGACAAGTCAGGCAGAAAGTGTGATAGCATGGGAGGAGACGTGGGTCGTTATACTTCTGATGACAGATGTCACACGTCAGAAAATTGTCACTGATGACTTTGTGGAACTTTTTGAATGCCATCACTGTCATAAAAGACCGTTGGAATCAGTTTCGGTACTCAAATTTCTCCATGTGTCTGTAAAGTAGACTGTTACTTCTTGAGCTGTTGAGTTGCTATTGACATATGATATAGCCCATTACCTGATTGACTGATTTCTTTAATTTTCTTAGGGGTTATAAACGGTAAAATTGGAAGGCAATGTATATCAAAGCCCACATGATTCCTTGACTACGTGCCTTGTTCCAATTAGATTCCGAGACCCAAAACGTCTAAGATTGCAAACGTGTTGGTTTCAAATGCACTGCAATAGAATCTTTACAAAACCTCATGTCCAAATTGATTTGGTACTTTGGTGAAATTCTATCGGACCGCAAATTATGAAGATAATCACATCAAAAGTCAACAATTCATCCTTTTTGAAGATTAATCAACAGTTTTGTGCAGATCCACGACGCGTCATGTTAAAGTTGCAGTCTTATGTCGCATGTGCATAAATTGATGATCGCGTCTGTCGTTCACCCTGGACAACCCTACCAGGTGTAAATCAACCACCCAGGACTTCTCCATAATAAAATCAATGCTTTTGTAATTATAAAAAACATCAATATACATTTAGATGTAACAACACAATGCCAAGTTGCGATTCGTATTTCGATGTGTTCAATGAACCCAGGTTTTATGTTATAGGAAGTCAATACTGCAAATAAATTATTTTACCAGCATTAAAGTAGTTTCTGGTGAAAACCAATATGCCGATATCCAGGAAGAAAACATACCTCGGAGAATCTAACAAACATGAAAGATTCTGTCATAAATATCTTCATTGGGTCTAAGACATCAAAGTCATTCCACTTTTTTAATACATCGATAGCTTTAGCTAATGTAAGTCAAGCAGCCGTACGAAGTACATTTCAGCATTAATAGGTTCATGCACGTTGATCTATCGATCTAAAAAATAAATGAATAATCCATTTGGCTATTTGATATGGTTATTTCTATTAAATTATTTTTGTTAAGCGCATTTGTTATTACAACGAGTTGGGATTGTCAAACACACGATTGGATACATTACCAAATGGCGTGAACGTGAATATTGTGAAAAAATAGAAATTGGTCCACGACATCCATGACCTTTGATGCATTATCAGGAATTAAGTTCAAGCAGTGCATGGCTTCAGACAAATGTATGTTAGTCAGAAAAATTAAAAGAAAATACTGAAAATCGGACGTCCGAACAACAAACACGTTTCGATCGAGTACCGGTAGAGTATAACATGCTAAAGAACTCTCCCTTTCTTTCTGACACCAAATAGAATTTCGTAAGTCATCAGTCGCAATCATTCTATTTTGAGTGCAGGTGGAATGTTCAAGTCTCATGTTGCAACACCCCCTCATTATCAAGACTAGGCACTGGAATTAAAATTCTATTTTTTCTATATAAAGAGATACAATCTTTACACTAGATGATGTCAAAAGACCTTACGATAGAATGAAATGTCCATCTATATTACACTGTAACTTAAACCCATGCGTGTGCAACAGTGTAAAATATGCAAGTTCAACAATAATAATTGTTAGATTCCCTTCCTCAATCATGATAGGAAAAAACTTCTACAAATAATTCTAAATAACGACACAAGCCGATATGGCGTGTCCATGAATTTGCTTTACAGCGTAATTTACTGGTAGATTGCTATCGGAAGACAGTAATCGTTCGTGAAATGCACTTAAAGCAATGTTGCAATGTCGGTTATGCAAAGTCTTTTACTCGTTTTAAGCAGGTTTAGCAAAGCAAATACACCCTTGACTTTTTTGTACTGTGAGTATTTATGTTATCATCCAGCTGGTCTCCTATCCATACCGTCTAGAATATTAAACCTTTGTTGCATATGGTCTCACTGATAATAATTTATTAGGTAAAATTGCAACCCTAAGGTTAAAGTTGTACAAAGAATGTTTAACAGAAAATTGACAATAAGCTTTAAATTATAAAACAATAAATTATTCCTAAAATACTACAAATTAAAAAGGCGTTCATAAATAACTAAAAGTTAAAGAGGCAATAATTAATAGAGGAATTTCTAAAACGTTCCGTCTTCACTTTTGGTTGTAAGAATTTGGTGGTGTTTCGTTAAGGGCGGGTGTTTCTTTCAGGCAATAAATGACCCAACTTTTCACAATTTTGTAATTTTGTATAAAACCTCTGATACAGCAAATGTCTACGTTTGTCTAGGGTGTCAATGTTACAAACTTTTAAGGCATCGTCATAACTGAGACCAGGGCAAATAATCCTTAAGGCTTTTTTTTAACTGACTCTAGACATTCAGATTGCTCAGCAGTCAGACCTGGTCCCCACACTGGACACGCATATTCTAAAACTGATCTTATTACAGACTGGTAGATAGTTAATAAATCTTCTATGTCCAGTGTTGCCCTCTTTAGCTGTCTGAGATGAAAGAGCTTTAAACATGCCTTAGCATACATGGTTTGGATATGTTCAGCCCACTTAAGGTCTGGGGTTAAAATAACACCAAGTATCTTTTTTACCAAGTAACTTTTTGACCTTTTCTACACGTACATCATCTATTTCCAATGTTGGTATTGTAAGAGTGCCTTTAACACCTTAAACATCTTAAACATCTTTGCCAGGCAACAACAGGATGGACGACGGATGAAACTAAATTCACGTCCATTGCATTTTTATATTCACCAAACTTAAAATCAGATAACAGATTGCCTACTTGCATTGTATTATGAATACATGTATATAAAATAAAGAAAGTGTGCTTTGAATTTTTATATATACCAAATAAAAGCAAAGATACTGTGGAAAAGTGATGCTATGAAGAGAAATTGACGATATGCACTAACTTGAACACTAGAGGGAGTGTGTGAGAACACA